CATGTTTTCGAAGTGGCTGCAGGAAGTGTTTGATGTGCCTCTCATCATCTAGGTATTTGCGTTTAACCGCGGTTCGGATGTCCTGCCAGTGATAAAATAAAATATCTGCACGATATGGAAAGTGCTCACCGAAAATCAGGCTCGAGCTCTTTTCGATTTTACACCTGAACTACATGGCCTAAGAACTCCATCTACTCTTTGAGGGACTCGCACTTCTCCCTTTTAACACGTTGACAAACGTTTTTCGTTTGCGCGCCCACGGGACAAGACCATTTGAAAGCGCTGACTAGTCGTCGGTCACCATTGACCGACATTGTCCCATGGAACAGACACCATATTTAGTTTACTATGTTCATAAGTAATAAGCTATTATTTATGCAAAACAAGTGAAAACCCTGAAAACAATAGAAAAACTTGTATTCTGTTAAGATTTGGATGAATATTCTAAAATCATGGGGCTTTGTAGACCATTTCGGTGTATGAAGCTTTGAACAGTGAGCATTCGTAGAATGCACTGTTTAAACGTTTGGCGGGAACAAGATTAGAGGTAAGGCGGCAATTGTTGGAAGGAGTTCAAATTTTAACTGCTATTTGATATGATGTATGACTCCTCACTCCATACTTAATATTTCTATAAAAACCTTAGATTTAGAAGGATGATGGGTCGACGCTAAAGTTAGTGAGTAAATAAATGAATGTAAGATATGAAACAAAAAAAACCTGAGAATTTCTTCATTTGGCTGACTTGCAGTACTGTCGGTCAACATTGAGCGACATCGTCCCACGAGACGTACTGGCTGTCGGTCAACACTGACCGAAATTGTAGTCAACGTGTTACAACGAAAACCAGCCTCATTTGACCTCTTCAAGACTTTTTCAAGTTTTTCTAAGTGCGTCTTGTCATCTGGACCCGTTACTGTAATGTCGTCCAGATAAATCAGCATACCCCCTCTATTCCCGCCAGCGTTTCTTCCAATATCCGCTGGAATATTGCTGGTGCGGACGCGATTCCAAACGGAATCCGCGTATACTGAAATAGTCCCTTATGCATGTTGATGGTAGTGTATTTCCTTGAGCTGGAAAAAACGCAATTCGAACGTTTGCGACTTTTGCAAAAATTTCCTTGAAGTGATCCTCCCCTCCCTCACCTTTGTGGTTATGCATGAGCACAAAAATTAGCTCTTTATATATAGAGATGATTGATCGCATTGCATGTTTGCTTTCTTTCTGTGAGGCCACATATAGATCATTAATTATGAAACACATTTATTTCCCGTGTCAACAGAAGTTGTGAGCAAATTGAAATTAACAATCATAATCCATTTCAAAATTGGTCGGCGACAAATCTAGCGCGACGAGAGTCATCCACAGCAAACTATGAACTGAGATCCAGTGAAGCATTGTACCAGTTTGCATGAGAACCGATTTCCTTGGATGCGATTGGACCGACGGGGTTCGAAGACCGCGCCGCCTAGGCAATTCTCTTCAAGGAAGTGAGCTATTTCTTGGCTTTGGGAATATTTCGAAATTGCTCGGGAACTTCGGATAGAATACTGTGCCATTGCCCGATTGGCTTTCTTTTCTGGAATGCATTTCATTCAGTATTAGTTCATAGAGGTCCATGACGACGATTACCTGTCCATTGACTTCCGTTTGAGCAAGTGAAAGGAAACAGTTCTCCCACTGAGTCCTGCCCTCCACAGTCGGGCTATCCTTGCCAAGTACACAGCATCCCAAAAGATCGTCCTTTCCTATTCTGAAAATCAAGGTTCATTAGCTTGACAATATCAATCAAAATCTACGATTGTACAATACTGTAACTGAGAAGGTGGCACAAGGCTATTCTGAAGTCAGCAGCACGGGTGGCTTAATGGTATGTAGCTGGTTAATGTTCGCAACCCCGAGCAAAGTTGCTGCCCTCTCTCAGCTAGTGGTAAAGAGCGCAGCGAGTAAATCAACTGAACATCGCTGTGAACAGATCGGCCTAACGCCCCACATCGCACTCGCCCACTTCGTTATTACTTGGAGTATAGGCATCCTAATTTCGGAGTAAAAACACGGCGCTTCCTTAGAGATCATGATACGGTGATGTATCGTCTCTTTAATCCAAGGACTACTGAAGCTCGCGACAGGGACCCGTGGAGATGTTACTAGCGCCTGGTCGAGGAAATCGATGGTTAATAGGACGACAGTGACAACATGTTTTTTTTACAAATTCGCTGTGGTACTCGATGAACGGTTCGATGACGCTGCGCTTGATGAACTGCCGCAAAACGATAGTTAGATAGATAGCTCTAAGTAATAAGCGAACTTTAAGCTCAAAAATCAAGACGCAATGCTTTGAGAACATGCTGTAAACCATTTAGTGCCTATATAAACCGGAAATTTTCTAGAAAAAACTCACCGATCCCAGTCCATGACCTGCACAAGAATGTTGGTTTCTGCAACCTGACTCAATGGCAGATCGTACTCTAAGGTTTCGTGATAGACAGGGTTCAAGTTAGCCCTCTTACAGGATGACTTGCGCAATTTAACTCGCTTGCCGCGATAAACCTGCTCCACTTTCACATATGGATCTTAATTTAAATTGTTGATTGCGATAAAAAATAGAATGAAGGTTGGAGAAATTGAAGCCCTACCAGAGGCTCCCGTGATATCCATCGGTCGAAGATTGTACGCCTTGGCCACGGTAACGTATAACTTCTGCTCGTTAGGGGAATACAATAAATACAGTAATAAATCTCCAAAATCATTCTTCTCCTGAAGAAAGCATACCCCTATTAGGTTAACCCATTCCAGAATGCGAAAGCAAAGTGATATCAACCAACTTGACTGCCAACAATCTGCATAGTGTACTCGGTCCAAGTATAAAGATCGCTCTTATCGAAGAGATCTCTCATTATGACATTCCCTATTAGACCGTGTCGGGTGAATCGGTCGAAGTCGTACACGGTGAACTGAAACATTATGAGGTAGGACAGTCCACAATGAGTAGAATGTAGTAATGTATAGCAAAATTCAGTCAAATAAGCATATTTATTCCCATAAGGGACAGCGGAGTGAAGACAAAGTTCTTACTTTTCTCCACTGGGAAACGCCAGTAACCCCATACTAATATCACTGATAGTGACGGATATTGTACCCGAATGCCGTCTACCCTCGCAAGCGCTTACGGGGTAGTGGTTTCCCAGTAATTGCCAAGATCATCCAGCTTATAGTTAGCCTTACTCTTACTCTAGTTTAAGAAATTAGGAAAAGTCGATAGGAAAGTCTCCTGTCGAACGTCGAATCAGGACAAACAGTGCGAGCAAAGATTTGCTCATAAGACTGATCATCATCGTCTTGGAACGAGCTCCCATCTCCTACAGTATATTCACGCTGTTTCTATAGCCCTTCCTGCACATTCTTCAATGACTACTGCGTTTGACCCACACCAGATAACCCCTAGCCCTGATGAATAGAGGCATCACCTCGAATTTCAAATAGTTCTGTTTTGGTACCACATGTTTGGATAGATTGCGAAGCGTTTGAAAGATTGCGATTGAAAGACACATTTTGGATATGAAGGACTATTCTAATTAGTACTGAAAAGCTTGTTAATATCACATAATCTTCTCAAATCTAGTTGCAATCTCTTTTCAAAATTTCTAGACCCCGGGACAACGCAACAGAACCATCTACGAGAGACCTTTATCAGGAAAAAGAAATAACCATTGTATTATATCTTGCCACTAAAAAGGAATACCTGTTTTCCTTACCTGTAGCATTCTACCAGAAAGGCTGTTGAAGGGGACATCAAACGAGAACATTTCATTGAAATCCGGATCCAACGTCTTCTTACAAATTCTCGTCTTACAGTGATTCCGTCGTTCCGGTAACAGATACATTTTCACATATGGATCAACTGTTCGACCTTTCTCCTGTAAAAACAGTTCTGAGTGCAGAGACCTGTACTTAAAATAAAGTAGTCGCGATGAAGGGAGGGTATTGTGGCGCAATTCTGACAGTAAATAGTGGATGAGATTGAAATTCGAAATTGAAATGAAATTTCGCGAGCCATTAAACCTCTTTTACCGACGCTTCTCTTTCTTCCTCTTCCTCTCCTCCCCAGCATTGATCTCGCCCATGGGGCAACCGCTATTCTTTTCAGCCGTCTCCACTTCCTTCTATCTAAGGCATCATTTGCCGTCACTTTAGCTTCAGCTCTTATTTCTTGAGTCCCACCATGAAATGAACGCCTCTCTTCATGGAAAACCCATCGAGCCAAATTACATAGAAATATACTGGCACTCATATAAATTGTCGCCACGCCAAATCAGTAGGTAGCGTGAGCCCTTTGTTTTCCGTTCCTTGTGTTTGCAATGTCCATTTCTTTCTTTGGCCCACTCGTGGTTAGAGCACTGTTTAGCCCGAATAATGAATAAGGTTAGGCTCATTTATGAGCTGCTTTGGATGCCAGATTCACCTCAATCCTATCGAAAACTTAAAACAAAGGACCACTCAATAATGTTATCTCGCATGATGGCTTGGGAAACATATATTTTGTCTGCTTGTTGATCTGCTTGCTGCTCATTTTCTTCTTGGCGGCAGCATTGTAAAGTGGTGGACAAGTATTCAATCTCACGGGATCGGCTCTTGATTTTCTTTTATTTTCAAACAAATCGCTTGATCTGGTCTGAGGAAAGCACAGCTGCTATGAAAAACATCTCATGGGTGTTCTGTGGACGGAAGAAGTTCTAGCAAATAATGATAGTTCTCCGATCGAAAACGGCCGCAGTTGTTTTGTTGAGTAGTTATAATGTAATCTGAAAATGGCTTCGTCACCTTACAGCTTACATAATTCTCGTTCTGCGACGGAACTGTGAAGGCACTACATCTGAGAGTAGAGAATAAGGCTGCAGTGCTTTCTGGGTTAAATAGTGTACTAGGAAATTAGCATTACCCTTTTTAAGTTGTTCACAAAAAGTGTGTTATAGTGATTTCAAAAAACTCATGCCGTAGTGGGCCGCCTACCTCATTCTGAGCACCATGAAACTTTTATAGGGACTTTTGAGTAAATACAGTAGCGCTCAAGAGTATTCGGCCAAATGCTTCTCCAGTCGTACTTTCAGTCGTAACTCCTTTCCTACTGGATTTCTAGGATTTCTTTCCTTTCTGCCATGTCCAAAGTGTACGAGCGCTAATGCCGAACATAGTAGAGGAGAAAAACGCACATGAGGNGCGAATAACTGCAGACGTCACAAACTTACTTTCAGTATATACTTCAAACGCCTTCCCCCTAGTTATGTGGACATTGCTGCTTTGCAGTCAAATAGTGTTGGATAGTGTGGAATATGTTTTAGTAAAACATATCAAAATTTCATGCGATTTGCTCCACTGAGAAAAAAAATGGTCGCGCTTGATCGAATACGTTTGAGCGCTTCTGTATAGGACCGTGTATACTTGGCCAACGCTCGACGTGAATGTTAGCAATGCTTGAGAACCGCAGACCGCTTTGATTAGAAATGCAACATAACAGACATCTCTCAAATAGTCAAATTTGAAGTACCCAAACTTTCCAAATTATAAGTTTTTGCGTAACTACCTAAAACGGGATCACGAAAAAATTTTTCTCGCTAGCGCTTTTCGTAAATTCACGACGTAAACTACTGTGTTTACTGACTTCTTTATTATTTGTTTCATCTTCGGAGGGGCCTCACAGGAAAAAGTCCGAACTGCCCAAAATAAGTACCAGTGTTCAGTGAGTGTTTTGCAGTATTCACAAGTGTTTCCATTATGACTTGTATACTTTTTGTTTAGCCATAAAAGCCAAGAAAAATGATTTTTGCTGCCACTTCACGGACGGGTGCCCAAATCCAGTTGAAAATTTCAGTCACCCTCATATCTTGAACCACTTTACAACTTTGCTAACCGTTGTCTTTGCCAATACTCTGTCAATACGTTCCACTACGCTCTACCCGACTTGCTCACATTACTCTTTCTAGCTCTNAAACATCCAAAATAATGTTCCAACATACCTCAACTGAGAGATGATTAGCTCTGAGCACATGCAACATAAGAACCCGATGAATGAAATCGTAGCGGAGAGCGAACGTTAGCGTCCCTCGATAGCAGTTAGTGCCACTTTTCTCGTAAAAGCCCAATTCATAATGAAGCACCGAGCGGTCATCCATGTGATCCAGCTGAAATGATGATCAAATCAGAAAACGTTTTACTAATCAAAATCTTCTAGTAGTATGTTCAATGGATCACAGGGAAGAATGAAGAGAGCAACACGGAAGAAGTCGACAACTCATACAAACGGAGGATCTTACAGTCAGTTGAGAGCTTTGTTTAACGCATGTTACCTGCTGGAGGCCAAAGCATCTGGGTTGTGACGGAACTGGTAAAAGCAGAGAAATGGTCACCACTGCTATGAGCCCCTTGTTATCTATGCTTCCTTTACTGCTGATTTTCAGACTATTTTCAGGCACTTCCAGTGTGAAGAATCACACAAAGGCAGTAAAATTTCGCAAGGAAGCCTAGAAACGATTTCACAGCGAGCCTTTAGGGTGAAATGATACTCGCTTTGCAAAATACTTAATGAAAACTACCTTTTTGAACTGATCCCATGCCTCCCCTCCAACCCTTTCCTCACAGTGACAAAAATGGGTAAACCATAAATATGAGGAACAGGCATGATCGGACCTCTAGCTCGAGGGAAAGGCAGGTCGTTACCCTCAATGTGGCCATCAATCTTGTGCCTATCCGTGACAACACAGCATATCAACAGATCGGCAGATCAAAGACACATGTAATTCGAATTGTATTAGGTTTTCGGAAAAGTCTTTGCGCCTTTTGCAATTTTTATTCAATTTTATTTTTTTCCTTCACGACAACTAATAATTTACATATATATGCAC